GGCCTTGCTTCTTTCTGCCACTGTAATGGTGGTGCTTCTTTATGCCACTGCAATGGTGGTTCTTCCTTCTGCCAATAGAACGGAGGTGTTTCTTTCTGCCACTGTAATGGCGGTGCTCCCTTCTGCCATTGCAATGGTGGTTCTTCCTTCTGCCAATATAATGGCGGTGCTTCTTTCTGCCACTGTAATGGTGGTGCTTCTTTATGCCACTGCAATGGTGGTTCTTCCTTCTGCCAATAGAACGGAGGTGTTTCTTTCTGCCACTGTAATGGCGGTGCTCCCTTCTGCCATTGCAATGGTGGTTCTTCCTTCTGCCAATATAATGGCGGTGCTTCTTTCTGCCACTGTAATGGTGGTGCTCCCTTCTGCCATTGCAATGGTGGTTCTTCCTTCTGCCAATATAATGGCGGTGCTTCTTTCTGCCACTGTAATGGCGGTGCTCCCTTCTGCCATTGCAATGGTGGTTCTTCCTTCTGCCAATATAATGGTGGTTCTTCCTTCTGCCCATAGAATGCTGGTGCTTCTTTTTGCCAGTGTAGTGGTGGGGCTTCTTTCTGCCAATGTAGTGGTGGAGCTTCCTTCTCCAAATATAATGGTGGTGCTTCCTTCTGCCAATGTTTCTTGTGGATGTGCCAGTCAAGCAGCTCCTGCTGTTTGTAGTCCAGAAAATAAATCCTGCCTCCAAGTCTCTGAAAGTGGACAGGGCTGCTTCTGACTGTTGAAGGAATCCTTGGCGTCAGTTTGGTCAAAGATTCAGATGTTGGAGTACTTCTTCTCCGCCGCTTTGGCTTCTGGTGCAGTTGGAAGTCCATTGGGGGATAAGAAGAAGATCTTTGGCGTGACTTCCGGAAACCAGTCTTGTAGGGTCTGGTAACCTGCCCCTGCCACACTGGAATTTCTTGTGAAGCAATGGGGCCTGGGGAGGGAGGTGTTCTAGATCGGCTATAGCAGACATCTCTGGTTGATGAATGGGCCCAGCTGTACAGAGAGGTGATGGAATTCAAAGTGGTGTTGGATGCAGAGCGTGAGATTCTAAAAATGGGATGGGAGGCAGGAAAACAAAGAAAAATGGTCAGAGCAGCCATTTCCCATGAAGCTTATTTATATAGCACCCATCCCATCCCTTGCTACATATTTATTTATTTTTTACTTTTTAAAATTTGTATCCTGCCCTTATTGTTTTTACAAATAACTCGAGATCTTAACATATTCAGCAGTAAATTAACCAGTTTAGCTTCCAATACCCCCAGCTGTGTGAAGGATGGAGGGGTGTGAAGCTGATAGGTACCATTCCCACATTGAAAAGAAAGACCCATATTTCTTCCAGCTAAAATGTACTGTATCCCCTACTTTTGGCAGGGCAAGTGGAAGATGGGTCATTGGGAGGGCAGACCAAATGTTACTTACAATCCAAATGTTATTCTCTTCCTCTACATAAAGCAGGATAAGCCCCTGCCTTATGTAGACGAAAGCAGTTGCCTCAGGCCACAAAAGCTTGGCGTTCAACGGTGATCTTAAGGCCAGAGAACCTCAATTAAAAGTATATACTAGTGGTGGTGAACCTTTTTCCCCTTGGATGACAAAGGTGCACACCTGTAATTAAATGCCCCCCCCACCGTTGTGCCCACCTGTGCATGTGTAAGCAACACCTCCCCCCCGCGCATGCATACATGGCTTTCTTGGAGCCTGAAGAGGGCAAAAAGAGCCTCTCCCACCTCCCAGGTCCTCCCAGGCCCCCACAGTACCAAATGTTAATAAGAAGCAAAAGCAGAAGCAAAAGGAATGCAAATATGCCTGCTAAGAAGACTACAGCATGATCTACTGAAAAGAGTCTCTCAAGCAAGGTGACTTTTTACTAATGTTATGTAGTCCAGAACTTTTAATTTCTTGAACAGAAAGAGATAAATATCCAGCTACTTGTTCCGACTTTTGCCATCACCATCTATTTATTCATTTAGAAAGCTTTAGCTTACTTTTATATTTTAAAAAAACACTCCACTGCTTAGTAGAAAGTGTCTCCTCTAGCCCTAACCCCCTCCCTCAGGGGCGGGTTCCAGCAGTTGCTATTGCCGGTTGTCTCGTGGCACCACCACACACACGCTTTGCTCATGCTGCGCGCAAATGTGCAGTGCAATTGCATTGTGCATGCGCAGAACCAAAAAACAAGATAGTGGTGTCTATGGCGCCACCAGGAGAACTGGTTTGGGGGCGTGGCAGGCCTGGGTCGCTGCCGGTTCCAGCGATCCAGGCTGTCAAACCACTACCAGTTCAGCCAAACCGGTTTGAACTGTTAGGAACCCACCGCTGCCCTCACTGCATAGGTCTTTGCTTTCAAGAAGTTCTATCAGGGTCTTACGGTTTACTGATACGTTGCATTTGCCAGGTGAGGTACTCAATTTTCTTGTCCAAAACACACAGAGTTTGATAGAGGCTCAAATTGTTGCAGGACCTGACAAAAATGGAAGAGAGAGGTATATGTACATTGGGAATAATCTATCACATGCTTATAACCATGCTTATATCTTTCCCTGTTGTTTTTTTGAGGGGGAGGAGGGTAAACTAAGATGGCAATAGGGCATCCTTATGATATTTGATTTTTTAGTTTGGTTTTATACATAGCCTTTATCTTTTTCAGAAAGTTCATTTGGCTCCCCTTCATTACAATTATTTTACAGCTATTTTTTCCTCCACCTCCCCCCATTATTCTGTAATTCCTATTCCCTTCCCAGAATTCATAAAACATGGAAGGCTGCATATTTGGGGGAAAAAAATAAAAAAATGTATTGCAATCTGAAGGAACTGGCAGACGAGATCTCAGAACCACTGAACCATATCTTTCAGAGATCCTGGAGCACGGGGGAACTGCCACAGGAGTGGAAAAGAGCTGATGTGGTTCCCATCTTCAAAAAAGGAAAAAAAAATAGATCCAGGAAACTATAGACCTATCAGGCTGACCTCAATTCCAGGGAAGATTCTGGAAAAGATAATCAAGCAACGAATTAGCGAACACCTAGAAGTAAACAAAGTAATAGCCAAAAGCTAACATGGGTTTGTCAAAAAAATATCATGCCAGACTATTCTTATTGCATTCTTCGACAAAGTGACAAAATTAGTGGACCAGAGGAATACTGTCAATATAATTTACTTGGACTTCAGCAAG